GACTCTTAAAGTAATAACTCATTATTCCGAATTATTATACTTTTCAGAACAGATACCTCTACTTTTCTTTCGGTGCAGAGTCGTTCCTCCTTTGTACCTCCACTGATTTCGCATGTAAATCTTTTCGCATTAATCCTGGGCCTTAACAGTTGTTCATCTTCTCGTTGTTTTTGTTGCTGTTGTCGCACTGCTTGGCTCACATAATGAAAAAGAGCGAATCCCCGTGTAAAGGCAGGCCTATCCATATATATAGTATATATATATATATATCCATTTATGTTCGGACGTGTGTGTTCGCCCGCATATGTCCGCAGAAGGCGAAGGGAAAATAAAATTTAATATTAATGCACTTAACACATTTTTCACTTACGCTGGAAAATTTATCCATTCACCCAACGTGATATAATTTTTGTCATATCTTTTTTTAAAGCTCTCACACTTTCGGTGCACATAATTGCAAATTGATTTTTTTAATGATAATGTTGGGTTCCCTTTTTTACCAGGTAAGCGGAGAGTGTATGCGAATTAGTAAAATTCTGAAACATAAAATTTATCTTAGTTCTAACATGTCTTTATATCTAAAAGGAAAAAATAAAAAAACATTTATTACAGATCGTGCAAATAATATTAAATATTTTTTTGTGTAGTGAGAATAATATTTGTAACCCATTTTTAAGTCTCCTGAAAATTATGCTTCTGGTACAAACATAAAAATCTTTCAAGAGACTTTAAGCCGTTGATGATTTATAAAGCTTGCCTGATAAGCTCCTCTGAATATTGGGTATATTATTGTCGGCAAACTGGACGCCTTTATTTTATCCCACCTCCTCTTTTTTTTTGTTGTAGTTGCGGTGCTCATTAAGGCCTTTTGGGCAAGTGATTAACACAAGCTGTTGCATGCCCCTTGGCGAAGGTTGAGATATCCACCCACCAGGCCAGAAACAGTAAAAAAAATTAAGTGTTGCCCGCCCTTAGGCTAACCCATTTTGGGTTGGTGGAACACAGGCGTTGGTGCATGAAATGCCGGGTCATATTTACATGTAAAAGACAATTGCCAAATGAGTGGGGAAAAGTAGCAAAAAATGTGTGTGTGCGAAATTCGCACACATTGTTGGGCAACACGAACAATAAATAGCCCTCAGCGAGGAGCTGCTATTTACAGATCTTGTTAAAGGGGAAGTATAAAGCTTTCCACAAGAATATATTAGTTAATGATGTTACCCTTTACAAAATTTCCAAAAAATGGATTTGCTGAAAATTGTTTAAAATTCACTTGTTCTAAGTCCATAATTTTTCTAATTTCAATCAGATTTTGAAGTGCATCATTCGTTATTTTTTTAACGTAGAAATTGCTAGAGATTTGAAAACATTGAAGAGGTTCCAAAAAGTATTCAACAATTTATATCTAATCTATTTAAGTTTTAAACCATCAGAGCTGCTTGGCACTATTTTTAAAAAACTTCTCTATGGACCAAAATAAAACCCGCTGTAAAAGGCTTTCCCGATAATCCAGACTATCTTTCGCTCTCATGGCAAACAAAAAAGAAAAAGCATTTAGAGAGCATGAACCCAAAAAAAGCAAGAACCACCTGAACTAAACCTAAGCGGCAGCACGAACTCGGGGCTTAAAGTTTCAATTAAGACCGATATGTACTTTTACTTCATCGCCTCAAATCACATTTGATGCGAGTTTAGTTTACTTTATTTTTCGCTCTTTTCTTTTCACAGCGCTTTGCTGGAAAGGACTTTTCGTATTGTTGCCACGAAAACGAAAATAACAACTACGATTCCGAAGCACTTAAATCCTCATGTAATTACAGGCATGAGGAACCGCATAGAAACAGAAAAGCGGGGGAAACAGAAATGCGAGCTTTCAATGCAGTCTCCCATTCATTGGACTCCCATCATATTTACCATTGGTTTTCATTTGGATTTTTATTGTTGTGCGGCTGCAGCCTGGCCTGCTCCACTATATATCCTTTTTCTCGGCTCCGATCTCCGCTTATTGCAAATATTTGTGCACTAAATTCTGCTGCCCCTAAAAGTATCTGGCCCAAGCCATCGCCAAACTTCTTTCCCAGTCCTTTTCATTGTGGTAATTGTCCAAGTTACGCACATTAATGTCCTAGGCACAAGGATATACTGTGACTTACTTGATGAACTAAAGCGGTCAAGAAAATAGTATTTGTATTCGTTAAGTTATGCAGTTATGCAAATATTTTAATGGATCCGACTTAAACGAAATAGAGATTTTATACAAATGTTGTTAGTGAATAATTGAGAGTCAAAATATTGATCAATAATTTATACATCTAATTTAATCAGGAAAGAAAAGGTCATTTATTAATATCAACGATCATTAGGTTAATTATACTTATTAATAGCGTGTACATTTATAAAACTCTTTTTACTAAATTCAAATCATGAAAAAATTATTTAATCTATATATTTTTTCTATGCTCATATTAAAATATTCGTTTCTACTTATCTGGAATAAAAAGTACGATTTGCTTATAAATATCATTTTTAAAATTATAAAATAATAAGATTCATACCCCACTTTTACTTACTTAACCGCAGCTGTGCAACGTGCCCCATTCCCTTATCTTTTAGCCCAGTTCCTCCGGTGGCGCCTTGCCCCGTTGTTGTCCTGGTTGTTCGGGGCGAGTCAGCAGTCAAGTGGTTGTCTGTCTCCACTCAAGTGTCAGCAGGACTCAGGACTGTCCTCTGCTCATCACACACCAACACACTGGCACTGGCTGGCACACCAACAACGGCAGGACCTCCTCACTGCTCACTAACACAGGCACACGAGCTGGCAGCGATCCAAGTGGCTGGAAAGGGAGACTTAGTTGGAGGACACTGCGTGTGCCATTTTCACTTCCACTTCCGCCCATGCACACACACACACTCACGCACACATACTACGTGCCTGCATATAATACATACATATGCATGAGTCCTTCACAATGTTGTCTGAATGCGAGTCCTGCGTCTAATCGTAAATATTCTTAGGCCCTGTTTTGCTGCTTGATCCCTGGCCTTAGCGTTATCCCCGACCCCTCCCGCCCCGCCCCCTTTTTGGCCCGCCCCTCGGGTAACTTGTGTAATTTTCCGGCTTGAAAACTTATCTCGCTTTATACTTTCCCTCTGTTCCAGATCTCTTTGTTATTGGTGTAGTTTTGTGCCACTTTTTTCTAGTTGCTCAAGTTTATGAGAGTTGCAGAGGAGCAAGAAACAGGAAAATAGGTTTATCTTTAAATTATAAAAAGGTGTCATAGATATAATAATAATATCTTTGAAAATTATTAAGCAGAAGAATAAAAGGTCCATTTTTCGATAGAACTAAACTTACCTTTAAATCGAAACGAAGGTGAATTTATCAATAAACAGATCTTTACAATCTTCTATGAATCTTTGCATAAAGTTTTTATCAGAATAATTTTCTTACTCTTCATTAATCCTATTTCCCTGCAATCGCACACTCAGGCAGGAGTTTTTTTTTTTTTTGAAAATAACTTTCCCACAAACACCTTGCGCTTCCTCTTAAATCTTTAAAGCGAAACTCTCGCACAAAACTCGCTTAAAAAACTTGCACTCGAAACTTCATCGGGCGCACAAAGAGCAAACACAACACCGAAAAGAAGATCTCGAACAGGACATGCGGGGAGTGGAGTGGGTGGAGTGGAAAATTTGGAAAACCTGCGGGACTGCGAGTGGGTGGGTTAAAGGTGGGTGGGTGGTTTTGAGTGGGTGGATGATGGCTGATGGAAAGGGGCGAAACGGCCACTTGTAAGCAAACTCAAAGCGGGGCAGGTCCCAGTTTCAAATATCAACGACGGCTTCGGTGAGTGCTTAAGCTCATCTATCAAAATATTTGTCGTAGCTTAAGCGACGAAAAGCATGTTAAAGGAAACTTGAAAAATATTGCCAAAGCAACAGCCAGAAAAGAACAACAAAGGATAATCAAAGAGAAATAAAAAGAGACCCAAGGAACATGACGAAAGGCCGCGGGTCCCATACAAAAAGGATATCATATAAATCGGATTCGGCGTGCAAAGGGTTAATGGAAGATTTATGTAGCTAAAGTATTTAACAAAAAGACAAACAAAGTTGAATTTTGTATTTACTCTCTAATGTTTTTTTCTTGTTTGGCAAAACTTTAAAAATATGGTAAAAAAAAATATTTAAAAATATATTCGTTTCTGAGTTATTTTTCTCTAAATGGATTTATTTTTATGTTGAAAATACTTTTGAACATTCTGCATAATTTCTAATATAACATTATATTTTAAAATTGATAATTAATAACTTTACTGTAATGATTTTTTGGGCGGTAATTTCTTGAACTAATACAATGGTGTTGTAACACTTAGCTTTTTACCGAGAACAAACTTCATAGCACAGACAGGAACCGTTCATCTGGTGTTGATATTTGCTAACATATTTGTTTAAGCTTCAAAGGTTGACAACCCTAACTAGTTTTCTCGGTTTTTCAAATTTTTATTGAATGTTTATTTACTTATTAAATTTGTATCAATTACTAGAATAATTTTTTGCAGAAAAATTCTGACAATATCGAAATCGAAAAGAAACTAATAATGTTTGTGCTTTCCTTCATTTAAAAGTAGAAACTGTTATGTTAATATTTAATATTAGTAAATTCTGTTTGCATTCATTTGTAAATCATAACACTTGTTATGTTGCTCGATGATCAACAAATCCGTCACATCAGAGATTTTCGCACTAATCCGTTGGCATTCGCAGTTCATCGCACATTTTATATAATAATCCCATCCATCTCGACAATTGTCTGTCCACGGAATTCCAAATTAAAATTTCACATCTCTCTTCGAGTGTTTGTGTCTGCAATTCCGAATTGAATTAAAATCAGGCCTGCGGCCCTCAACTTCATTATCATTTTTAATGCCTCCTTAACCTTTGTTTTTGAACCCCGTCCGTCGATTGTTTTCCTGATGAATTTCTACACTCAGTTTTCAGCAGGCTGTGTATCTTCCGTCTTTCGAGCTGGGCTGTCATAAATATTTTTATTCACTTTCCCATTTTCTTTAGATCCACACAGGCGTTAACAGCTTTGGTAAGTTTACTTTAATACATTTTTAAAATAATATTGTTTTACACAATAATAACATAAGTTTGTTTTGATCCTTCAACAAAGTTTTTCTTTTAAAGAAATCATCATGAGTTTTACTTTGCTGCGCAAGCATGCAACCCAAATGGGGATTTTTAAGACCCGATCGACTTTGGGTCGAAGCTATATACCCATGGCTGGTCCACCCCGATTTCCGATGACCACCGTCCAGCGTTTGATCTTTGGCTGCGGACCCCTGGTTCTCATGATGATCATTCCCTACTGGTGCCTCTTCAACATCCCGCGTTGGTCGAGGATGCACAATGGCCTTCCTCCCTTGGAGGAGGAGGAGGAGCAGGAAAAGGAGCCACCGCCAGCCAAGGAGGAGAAGCCCAAGAAGGAGGAAAAGAAAAAATAGATTGTGAACCAACAGACACTTAATATGTTTAAACGGTGACTTCTGAACAACTCTTACTGGGGTCTCCACAGTGATTTTAAATTCTGGAAAATGTTTATTCCCCAACACATTTTAATGGAATAAACAGATCAGTTGTAACAGCGTGTAGAATAATTTAATTGTAAAATTGTTCTTACAGATTGAAAATAATTATTCAATGAATATTTAAAGCTTTTCTTTATTTGAAAGGATAATTTTCCCTAGTCACTCTTTTTATGAGCACCATAAAGTGTCACCCCCCATCGACAGTGAAAGTGAAGACGCCTTGTTAAATCATTTCAGTCTCCTTAGTCCGGGATTTAGTTGACTTGATTTACTTTGCAACCCACAACGAGATCCGCTTTGATGTCTGCCCACCAATTAAGGATTGCAACCGCAGACAATAAACCATCCATTGTCCGCATCCAATTAGTTGGCTCAAACACCTCGGCTTTAAGCCAAGCGGAGAGCAGCTCCTGTGCAAATGCTACTGCCACAAATCAAAATGCTTTAAGACTAAACAAACCGAAAATGAAAACAAAACGGCGAGGAAAACCGAAAAACCGAAACAAGACGAGAAAACCCAAAAAGCAAAGTGCCAACTTTCATTAAAAGTATTTCTGCGCTCATTGCCAATGCATTCAATTGTGGACTTTGTGGCTCTTTCGGAGTCCCATGCCTAGTTAAAGCCTGCGACTTGACTTTGACCACCTCCTGTTGTCTGTGGGCCTTGTATCGCATCCAATCCTCATGATCTACAACACACCGTGACCTTCTTTGCCTTCTCTGCCCAAGAGGAGCTACGTGTTGCACAGAAAGAAAGGATACTTTCCTTAAATATAAGAAATAAAATAGCAATATCTTCATTAATTCAGTTTCTATAAATTTATTATTTTATCTCACTCTTCTGATTAACCATGACATTCAATATTTTATGTAGACATATCTCTGCCACTTTTTATTCCAAATCAAGGCATTATAAAAGTCATCGTATCGATGATCATCAGTAAAGTATCAAACATTATTTTCCGTGCAGAGAAAGACTCGCCAGAAACGGCAGACATTCGCACACAAAATTTGAAAAAGTAAAACCGTCGAAGGAAAGTGAATTTCTTTTTAAGCAAATCAACTTGCCACGCCCCCCATCGGCCCCCAGACCCCACTGCCCCCTTGTCCCCATGCGACAGCTAGGCCCGGAGATTCACAGATTTTTCGGTGAAATTTCATGTGCCATTAAACTGGTTCTGTCAGGCGCTGGCCTGTCGATCGGATTTTCTGCTGGCTTCGGTTTGGCTTTTGGGCCTGTGGGTCTTGGTTTGCTTTTAGGTTCGACCATGGCAGCACTCCTTGCAAAAAAAATTGTAAACAAATGAGGTTTTTGGTCTTTGGGTTTACCGAATAAAGCAGCTGTAAAAGGATTAACTTGTCTAATATCTTACCAGAAATTATGTTGTAATAAGATAAGTGTTCTTAAATCGATTGCTACAGTACCATATTATTATATAAATTTTAATTTTAATTATTATAAATTAAGTTTTTATAAGTATTGCATTAATGGATGCATATTTCATATTTTTTTATTTTAATAAAATCTTACTCAATTCAAAAATAAATTTTAACTAAATTGAGCGTTAATCCTTTTTTTACAATTGTGCTTGTAGGTTTTTGTTTAATCGTTCAACCCCTTCTGTATATCACTTTACACCTTACAATTTTTTTGAAGCATAAACCTCAGATCCTGGTACTCGGTTTACAGGGTATCCCGAACAACTGCCGCGTGTGAATGAGGCATGTGCACCCAGCTCCCTTTGTCATCGCCCACATGCCGTGCAAAACATGCTTAATTTTCATTTATGCCCAGCCATTCAAGTGGCATTCAAGCGGCAGCCGAGGAAGCCACATCCTCCATGAACTTCTCGTGGGCGTTGCAAGATCGCTGGCTTTGGGGCAGGATTTCGGGGGGCAAGAAGGGGGGAGGGGAGGGATGGCCGACAGACACTTGCCGCACTTGCCACACGCTGCGTTGCGTCAGTTTAGTGTGTCAGAAGCTGCAAGAAGAAAGTTGCTCCGGGTTCGGGTCCGAAATCCAGCCGATTTTGATCCGGTTTAGTGATCGCTGCAGGTTCGTTGTTCCTTCGATTGGGGAGCGGTGTGTGCTTTTCTGCTTTTCTGTTTTTCTGCTTTTCTGGCTTTCTGCCTCAGCAGCGAAAAATAGCCGTCCACTTTCGGTCGCAATTAATTATGCGGCGGGCAGCTGAAAATGAAAGTGCGCTCAGGTTGCAAGTCCAGATCTTGGGTTCTCACTCTCTCTTTTTTTCCGACTCCGACTCCGACTCCACAGAGTCCAGCGAGTCCAGCGGCTGTGTGGTCGCCTTTCCTTCGAAATCTCAGAAAATGTCGATTTGTTCCCATCATTAGACACCAGGCAACTTTATTCCTGGGATGCAGAGAGAGAAATATAATGGTTTTTTAGGGTTCCAAAGTTGTAGGTGCCATAAACATAATATTTCTTACCACTTACTTATTAGGAGATAAAAAATCATTGGAACAACTACTCATATTTATATGTATACATATATTGGTTTAAATATTTAAACTATATAATCTTTACTGTACTAACCGTTCTATTTTTCCTGTGTTCCTCGAAAAGTGAGAACGTTCTGGCGAAGATCTTCATTATCATCAAACGAGAACGCCGATCTCGGGGACCAACTCTGTGTCCGTCCGCCGATGGCTTCCCATCGAGATGTCGATGTCATCGTGGAACATAGCGGCCCATAAAGAGTTTGCTTTATGCCCGCCGACCGACTCGCAGGTGGTCACTTAGTTTATGGCCGGCAACCGCAAGATCGCACACCGATCCTCGCTGATTTGTTGTCGCCATTCCGAGTCCGAGATTACGGACTAAAGGCGGCTAAAGTGTTCTCCGAACACGGCCACTAAAATATTAACCAGAAGGGGGAACTGAAGCCAAGATTACTCAGAAGGATTTCGTGAAATATAAATTAGTTAGGGATTTCATTGAGTACAAGAATCTAGAATCATTAATACAAATGTTTAACAGATTGATTTTAGCAGTTAGTTCAATCTTTATAAATAGGAAGTTTAAGCAATTGTTAGTTGCCTTTAAATCTTTTTAACCTTCTTCATATCGATTGACTCATCATATTATGTTAGACTATAACTTTTATTGCCCCAATCATGTCCGCCCACACTTTGATGACCTTTTCCGGCCGTCCAGCAGATTCGAAAGAGGGAAAACCTAACTCAAATTTATCGGGCTGTCAACACGCCAGCCCCTCTGGGGCTACCGATCGATTTGTTCCCATGAAAAGCTCATTTCGGCTGTGCGCCAATAAAAATTAAGCGCCAGCCAATAAAACTTGTAGACAATTCTGTAAAATAAACAAGAGGAAAGGCCCACACAAACTGGCAATCGATCGACGGCGGCGACACGATCAGCGGTTTTATTTGATCTATTTGGGAGTGAGACGCGGAGACTGTGACCCCGTCAGCGAAAAAGTTGCAGAAACAAAAAGATCGCAATGCAATATGGAAAAACTGGCGAAACTGTGGCATGTTTTCCCAACATCAAGTTGCCTCCGAGTTGGAGCTCATAATCGTTTAGGACACAACAACCAAAAGCGCAGACTGCTGGTCTCGGCGCAAAATAACTCTAGACACAAATTATATTAATGGGCTTTTGTTTGTGCTCCACTGAAGATCGGCCGGTGGATCGTATATAGATTGGGGGAGTGGAGTGCGCCGTTTTGTCTCTGCACGAATCACGTTTTAGAAATTGCATTGCGCATGGGAGGCAGTCGAAATGATCGGCCAAATACTAAATGTGCCCCAGTCGGAGTTGAAGTTAAGCACTGACAAAAAATTATATGTATTTCTATAATAAAGTGTATAAATATCCTATTTTATCAGATAAAAGAGTGATATCTGTAGGAAACTAAAAATAAATAAATTCCCACGAAAATAAAGTTTTCAGTTTAATTGAATTTGAATTTGAATTTCATGTTTCATAGACCCACTTTCCTTTGAAAATATGTTGTAAAATTAAACATAAATAATCTAGAAATATATTTTTATATACATATACAATTTCTCAATCTTTAACTGATTTTCTCCCCGTGTACTTCTATTCAGCGGCTCAAGTCGGAATTAGAGACACAATCTCTTTGGCTGTCAGGGCTTTTTGCGCAAGTTCTGGATGTGAAGAGCTTTTGGGCAGGCGGTCTTAAGTGGCACTTAGTTTTAATACGCTGCCCTACCGTTTAAATGGGCCTCTCTGGCTCGCAGGCAAATCGCAGTTGGCTGAAATAATTGCATGAACACAAATTGGAGCGCGCCGCATAGGAATCGTTCTGCGATTTCGGTGATTGCGGCTCTTCCGCCGATTCTTCAGCTTTCTCCGAAGGTCTTCTGTCACGTCTACTTGAGCACGGCCCCCGATTCTACACTCTTCCCCCAATTATAGTTCTCCGATACGTTAAGCCCCCCGCATCTGAAGAATGCCTTATAGCCGGGCGAAAATAATGCGTATTGTGATCATTGAAGTTGGCCCAAAGAAAATAGAAAATATCATTTACTTCCCAGCGGAGACATTCTTTTTGTCATTGGCGTTTTCTGGGTTAGCCGGTGTGGTATTTGGCACTTGGGTCAATGTTCCACATGTGGCACACTATGATGAGGTGATGAGTAATGGGTGTCAGGGGGCTGTGGAGGCTTCCCAAGCCGATCCAAATTGCAGGTGGTTGAGTTGAGGGCTAATAAGAGGGTTCTAGGATCCATAGAAAGCTGGCAATTTGCTTGATTTGCATTTTCAAATTAGCTGGCATCTGGAGGTGCAATTATGAATGGGTATTCTAGGCCCCCCATGAATTTATATCCCATTAAAACGCGCACAAAATTCCCACATTCGAAAATCCAGATCGTAATGAAGACATGAAAAAATTGATTACTTGAGAAGAACACGTACGATAATCATAACTCCGCCGCCCTTTTCACACCGATTTCCCCTTCATCACTCTTTTTTTTTTTTTTTTTGTTTTGTTTTTTGTTCTCCTGGCCAACTGCAGGCTTTCAAAGGCCTAATTGCATCACGTTTTTAGAGCAGCTCCACAACTGCAGCAGGGGCCCAAACATGCCGACAGAATATTACACAATTGTAAAATGCCAGGAGACAGAGAAAAGCAATGCCCATTAGTTGCAGTGCCGTGATTTCCACACGTGAGTCGAGATCCCCGCCTTGAAGCCAGACCCTCGGCTTCCGACTCCCAGTGTCTATATCCATCCGCCATCTGACGGGTTGACGGAACGCCCCAGCTGACTGGCAGGTTTTGTCCATTTGCTTTAATGAACGCCAACTCGGCGGCTGTGACAATAATAACTATTTCCGAACACATCGCCGGAAAGCAGACAAGTTAGTTCTCTAACCTTAAAACCTGTGTAAGTAAGAACAAAAATATATATTTATAATGTTCTGATGGGGTACATAAAATTATATTAAAATAAAGCAAGCAGAAATACTTTAAAGACTTACAATCTAAGATTACTTTAGCCTATCAACTTGTAATTGAATAATTTCACAGGTAATTTATATTCATTGCAGCAATTTTCCAGGTAATTTATTTTGAGCCAACTACAAAGTTTGCATACCCTTTTTAAGGGCCCGAAGTGCAACTGTTTCGGCTGCGGATTTATGCAACTTCTGGGCAAAGTGTCAAGCGCATCGAAGCGTTGCATCCTCTGCAGAAATTGCAGCAACATGTGGCAACCATCGTACGCAATCTGTAGCAACCAAATTTGGCCAAATGGCGAACTCACTTACCTGCGTCTGACACACATTTTCCAACTCCCATTTTGCGTTTGGTAGAACCCAGCTAAATGCTGGCCTTTAGACATTGTAGTAGATCTAACTCTGGCCAAAAACGGATGCACATTTCCGGTGTTATTTCGAGGGGAGAGGTTCGCGTTGCATGACAAACAATGCCTCAGAATCCACGCCCACCTACTGACCAGCCAAAGTTGAAAGTCCAGCTGCTATATATAGTCGGATATAGGTATGCATTCGTATATATCTGAAGCTGGGCTGCAACTGGGAGCTTGGCCAAGTGCCACCCGCGCGACAAACGTAATTGACCAAAAATGCAACGCTTGGCTGAACCTCTCCAATAGAACAGCACTCGTCTACAAACAGGGAATGGAGTCAGTGGAGAATTAAGCCAAGAAACGACTAACTGATGACCTATAAAATAATAATATGATTTAAAATTGTTTTGTGGAAACAATAAATTAAAATATATCTATAAAATGAAAATCATTTGTGAGCTTACAATCAACAAATAACTAATAACTATTAATGAGGTATAAAATTACTTTCTGGAAAAGGGGGAAAACTGATTAATATGATTGGGGAAATCAGTTGATTTTTTATACTTAGTTTAATATACAAAACATTTCTTAATATCTAGTTCTAAACCAATTCTAACTGTTTGAGTTATTTTCTTAACCAAGCTTGACATGCTTATACCCCATTTTCCGGGGCATCATAACTACACCTATTCACATATGTATGTTTCGGGCTTTGTTTTTCGCATGCACATTTATTTGGCTCTGGCCCGTTGAGTTCTGCGAGTTAAAGTGAGTGATTCATGCGAGTCAGGTTGCCATATTGTGCGCAGAACAAAGACTTATTCGATCCGAACCGATCTGATCAAATCCAGCTGCATTTTCCGACAGCCAGCAGTGGGTTGAAGTTCGCCACCGGCTGTTGAACCCGCCATCTAAGCCAAGAGATCTGTCTGCGCGATTTGGCCAATAATTATGGCATTTTATTGGGTGTAAGCCAACGCAGTTGGCTAATTAATTCATTAACGATTGGCTCATAAAACTGCGACAATTGCCGCGGCTGGCTTCTGCGGCTTTAATGACAATCCGCGCTGTCGGTGGTGTCGTCATCTTTTTTTTCTGGCCAGCTGGGACGACCAGTGGTTCCCTAGCGGAGGACACACTTTTTATGGCTATGCGGTGATGATTACGTGGGCAGGCTCCCCGGCCAATTAATAAAGGCTTTCTGTTTTTGCCTTATTTACTTTTTATTTTTTTATTTTTTGCCATCGGACAAAACAAGTCGTTAATGTTTACCGCAGATGCCGATGCTGTAATAATATTGTATGCAAATCTCTCCCCCGTCCAGCGAATCGGCATTGATATAAAGTTTCAATTTACGGCTCATATATCATAAGTTGGCCGGTGGGCGGGGTGCTGGGCCGTACTTATGGGGCTTATTAACTCGTAAAAATGCGCCTGTCACTGATCTTTTAGTTACAAATGTTGTCGGATGCTACGCGGTTTTCCAGAGACCTTGAATCGCCGATCGGTGAAATGCCATCCAGATTAGTATCTTCTGCGGTCGTATCGCATTTTGTGGGGTGATTTTCAAATGTACCTAATTATTTTTCCCCTTCCAAGATCAATAGTTTTTTTCCTAGAATTTTTGTAATTAAAAATTTTTTTTATTGAATATATTCTTAAAGGATTCTTACATGGTTCCTCAAATGATAGGTACTATCTTATAGTATTTATATTGGTAAAAAAATACATATTAATAATTTAATTTTATTAATTATTTATTTAATGTTTTTTATTATGAAATACTAGAAAACTACAATTTTTAAAATTAGTATGTAGTTTCAAATAAAACTCCCGAAATTAAGAATCAAACCAAAAGCAAAAGTCTCTTATCAGCAAATAACCAAAGACAGCGAAAACCGGAATCAAAATAAAAACAAAAAACCAGAGAGCGAGAGAGCCTACTTCCAGTTGAAACGAGAGAGAGAACGCTATAACCGACTGCCTCGAATAACAGATACCCCTTACTCAAATAAAAATGCTTAATGGGCCCAATGAATTTATTAATATTTAAATATCTTTTCAGATAGCAGAAAACGAATCATAAACGTGGGCGTGACAAACTTAGATATGCATAAGCTTTTTATTACAAACAAAAATGCTGTACCACTAAAATTTGGGCTAAGACCGAATTTTGTCTGATGTTCCTGATCAATAATATGTATATTGTCTATAAACACAGGTGGAACTGCTTCTGTCAACTTGTTATTTACTTATCAACAGACAGAGTATACCCTATTTCTCTACGAGTAACGGGTATTAAAAAAAGAGAGAGCGCGGCTTCCAATTGGAACTGCGAGCGGTTTCCAAGCAGAAATAAATTGTTAGTCGCGGCGAGCGGACGTGTTTTTAAATTACGAGCGGAAAAAGCAAATCGAAAGAAGTGCGATTACCGCAGAAAAACAGAGATTTAAAATTATAAGGAATAGAAAATAAAAAATATTACAAGCAAAGTGCGCGATTTCCACCACTTGCAGTGTTGTGAAATTACCAACCAAAGCTAACGGCAAATGCGAAAGCCGATTCAAAAAGTGCACACACAAAAAACGTGACGCCAGATTTTCAATATTCTCAAGCCGAAAATCATGTGTTTTTTTGTTATACCCTTGTGTTTTGTGTTAAATGTAGTTGTTGACAAACCGATATATTAAATTGTGTGCGGCGAAAATCCCTTGCTTAGTGTTTGTTATTATTAAATTCCCTTTATCGTTTACCAAACACAACAAAACCAACAAACCTGAAGAAAAAAAATTTAAGGAAAACGCCAACAAACCCAGAAAACAAACCAAAAACAAACCGCGAAATTTGCAGGTTAGCCCAAAAGAGGCGAAAAAATCAATTATATGTTGGCCAGTGCCGGATTTGCAGTGGAATCGGGTTGAGTGCCATCGATAGCCACACAAACACACAATAATGACGGAGCACCAGGCGGAGGAGCAGGCGGCCACGCCGCCCTCCAAGGTCAAGGCCACGGCCACGCCCACCCCCAACTCGAAGTTCAAGGACGCGAAGGAGGAGGGCTTCCTCTCCACCTCGCCGGATAGCGCCAACGGCGATGCCCAGCAGAAGCTGCCAGCGGACCAGCTGGCCATCTCCTCGAACGGCCTCCATCCGGAAAAGTCGGGCGGAGCCCGCCCCCTCATCCTGCAAGCCTTCCATCGCTGCTCCTCGCCGGAACAGTGCGTCACGCTGCACAACATCCTGGACTCCTTCAAGGCCCCCCTGTCCGAGGATCAGGCCTGGGCCCTCATCCACCAGTTCGCCAGCCTCTACCACCAGGTGGCCGTGCAGGCCCACTCCTGTCCAGCGGACTACGAGGCTTCCCTGCCCACCGGATTCGAGTTGCACTTCCACCGCGACGGCAGTGTGCACTTTTCCGGCCAGGAGCAACTCCCCGCCAGCGAGGAGCGGGTGCCCCAGGAGCGGAATCCCCCGGAACAGGACGATGGCGGGGATCAGCCGGATCGCAGCTCCAGCAGCAGCGCCATCGCCATCAACCGAGGTGAGTAAAAGTCAAATTTAATTTATATTTTTATTTGGTTACAGTTAGCGAATTTTTCAAAAATATTGCGTTAGTATTTTCAATTCAATGTACTTGGTAGAAGTATAATATTTATGTTGAAAAATTGTCTTTTAATAATACTGATAATTGCAAAAAGTATAAAAAACTATTCCTCCTTATCTGAGCGATCGTCATGAAAGTAACTATTAATCTTTCGGATCTGTATAGAAACGGAAAAGTTCTATTGAACATTGTCTCATGAATTAATTAATACCAAAAAAAAAAAGGTGATTCTCTATTGATAACATAATGACCCAAAATGACATTTTAATGAGAATTTCTTTAGGATTTACACTGGCATTGTTACCATAAATTCTTTAGGAAATATAACGACTTCCTTTTCTTTCCTCAATCTCCCTCAAATTTTTACTTCGTTACTACTAATACATTTGCTTTTATTTTATATTATTTTTTTGGGCTGTCAGAGGTCAGTTGGGTGTTGATTTCAGATGCGGAACTGTAACAGTGATGAAAACTGGGGCTGTGATTAGCTGGGCCGGAAAACCGGTTGAACTGATGCCTCGCCGGACGGGGCTTTGTCTTTTCGGCAAACGCTTTCATTTTCAGTTAATAAGGCACAGTTAACTTCTTTCTTTCTGGCCTTTTATTTTCGGACATTTGCCGTGATGTGCGTTTCCGTGTGCCATCCATCTGACTATTGGCATCGCCGTGGCCACCATCGGAATCCCAGTCCCAGCGCTTTCCAAACAAACAACCCACACTATCCGACACAGCGGGCCGATGATGACCTCTGCATTTAAGTTATGCAGCCAGCTTTGATTGAGGTTTTTCTCCACTTCGGCCTTCTGTCTGATTGCGTGCTGGCTTGGGAAAGTGTAAACGGTGACTCCCATGAAGAAGGTCCCAGTCTGAGGCATTTTTCACTTTCTTTTGTACCTCCGAGTGCACAGGAAAAAATTATATCATTTAAAGCACTCAGTTTCAAGAAAAAAGTATAATTTTGTAAACTAATCAAAACTGTTCACAATATAGTATTTAATACATAACCCATTTAAAATATTGTTTCTTATAAAAGGAAGTGGTCTTAAATACCATTTGTTTTCTGTGTAACATTACAACTAGATCTTCTTTTATCCCCCCTTTCATTTTCTGTAATTGATGAGGGATGCTTTTTGTCTCCCGATCTACGAATCTACAGAACGTGTCTGAGTCTTTCTCGCAGCTAATTGTTTGGTGATTCGTCTGGGGGAACTGTCAAAATACAGGTCGGTAATCTATCGGCTTTTAGATAAGCCACGTTAATTGGAAAATGCGTTTGTGAGTGGGTAGCGATGGGGATCTTCGTTCTCCTAGGTGGCCCTTAATGTGACTCACGCAGCTTTTGGCCTGCAGCATTAACTGCATTCTACTGCATTTTTGTATGCCTTCTGAGCGATGATCTTTGTTCGGACCACTCTATTTGGCCAGGCCAAGTCCGTTTATAGCCAGCTTTGGTATCGGCGAGGCCAATTAGTTAGCTCTTATAAGCAATTAGCCAGGTACATGGCAATTCTTAAGGGCACGCAGATACAGGAAGTTGCTTGGAAATATTAATTAAATTGTGTATCTCCGAGTTGAAGGAACTGTTAACAAAGTAGCTGCTTGAGATTGAGAAATGTAATATGAAAAAGCCTTGAAGGTACTACATTCACTCGAATAAATTATTTGAAATCGACTGTCACAAGTTCTTGGTTCTTTTAGAATTATAATTTGATACGTTCAGTTTCCAATTCACACGTAACCTTTGTTTATATTTATCGTCCAGACTTTCTTCGGGGCAAACAGAGATCACCTTGTAACACCTTAATTGCCGCTAATTTAGCAGCTAAAATCCCAGCCATAAGGTGAGATATCGAAAGGTTTGCCTCTGTTGAACCTCGAGAACCGCCAGCAGCGGCAATTAGTCTGCTCAAACAAGTTATTACAGATGGTAGATGCCATCGGGCCACAGCACCTTCTAATGGTCTTTTTTTTACTGTTCGGCTGCTTCTGTTTTATCCGAATAAAATCGGTGAAACATTTTCGCAGGTTACATTTGCGCTGGGGGCTTTGAACTTGCCGCCTCGATTTCGATTTTAAACGTTGATTTCAGTTGGTCTTGGAGCGAAAATCGCGCTACATCGCCTCCTGACAACCGCATCGTCGGGCACAGCGAATCATTGATTGTGTCGAATGCCGCTCCAGACCCTCGGAACATCGAAACGTCGGGATCCCTCGGGAGCCACCCGTGGCACCCATGGTACCATGGAAATCGAGGCGTGGGAGATGGAGATTTTGATGGGAAAACGTCGACGGCGCCGTCGGGTCGCCGCGCCCTCTGGCGCCTCGATTAGGCGCGCAGCAATTTCCACCAGAGTTTTCCACATTTTCACGGGCTCACCGATAAAATTGGCGCTTGAATCTGTCAACACACAAACTCGCCATTACGTTTTCCAGCAGGCTCTCAGAAATTTGGACAAATGGCCTGCCAGCAGGTGATTGGGTTATTGAAAGTTTTCCACTGGAAAATCGCCCACGTACTGTGAAGCCTTCTCCTCAAGGTCACGGGTCATGCGCAGTTCTGGAAAATCGGAAAACCAGACTGTGCAAAATGGAAGGGGGTTGAAAATTGTTGCGGTAGGTTCTCTTTTTTTTTTTCCCAGCCAGCTGTTGATTGTGTTTTACTATATTTTTCGTTGAGTTTCCTTTGATTCATGGCATTTAATTTGATTCTTCCGTCTTTGAACTCATTTCACCCGAACTAATCAAAACCATCTCGAAGAAAGCTAGAAAAAAAATCCCTTTTGGGTCTCGAATCATCCGCTTGGGTGATGATAATTCATTTTCATGTCTATGACTTTCTTGTTTTCACTGACAAAGCAAACAACTGGCCGCTCAACTGGTTTAATGTTTAAATAATTACACTAAAAATTACCCAAACAACGAAAAATGCCCCAAAACTAGAAAACCCAAACAAAATTATAACGAAACTAAAGCTCAGCACAAATTGGTTCAGTTTTTGCTGTCCGTTGTTTGAAGGAAAAGAAAAAGAGGCTTGCTGGAAATTGTATGTTAAATTGGTCGGGGGGAAATTGTATCTAATTTCTGGTTAGCCCCTGCTTATCTCTTTGTCTAGTAAGAGCTTTGGGTGAGGTCTAAATGAAGAGTTACCAAATGATAATTGTAATGGCCGCCTATTTATTAAGCCAGGTTATTGGGCTCAATTAGCTATTAGAGTTGGGGATTTGGAAATGGCTTTAATTTAAGCTAAGGTCACTGGTCTCTTTCCTATCATTTTTTACTGATCATTAACTAGAAGACCCTACTACCGTGGAAAATATATTAATACAAATAAAAATCTCCTTATAAGTAAATATTTATACTAGCTCATCATCTACTATTTCCCAACCGCAAAACATTTCGATTTTGCAACTAAGGTTGACTTGTAGCCCACTCGAATTTTCTTGGAATCTGGGACCATATATTATGTTTATTTCAGATTAGGTAGCTGTCTGAAATGCATTTATTATAAGGTTGCTGCAATAGCTTGTGTTTTTTGAGGGGACCACACCACGTGCTCTTGGTTTTCCGCGTTGGTTTATATTTTTTTGACACATCATAGACCCAAATTTAATTGCCAGCTATTGTTGACGCTCCAGTTTTTGGGACACAATTAATATAATAATTTTTTCATAATGACAACAAATGACATAAGCACGTCGACGAACCTGAACCAAATTTCCGAGACCCAAATGCGGTGGGTTATTTTTGTGTGCGTTTTTGTTGGGCCTCTCCTAAACTTGTCCACCTGTGCAGTTTGCATTCGAGTTACGAAATCCGCTGACCATTGACTGCATTTTGAAATGGAAATACTTTGTGTCGCCTTCGGACAGAGACACTGAAGACTTGGGTTTTGAAAGTGCGTCCCAGGCCCAATAAATCACACGATAATCCAAATTGGGGCTCGCTTTTTCGCTCCGTTGTTTGGATGACACTTGGAAAAGAGTGTGTGGTCCATTGAGCTGACATATTTGAAATCCAACCGATCGGGGTGACCCTGAATCGCCTGTTTACGCTCCAAATTATAAATAAATTTTGATGCAATTAAACGCAATCGAAAACGGCAAAAGTCGTTAGGTAAATGCGCCTTCGATAGAGCTACTTTTCGTATTCCTATCTTATCGTTTTTGCCAGTATATAAACCTTATATATATAGTATGTCATGCCGGGCGGTTAATGCATGTGTTGAAAGTATATATGCCAAATGTGTGTCGAGTGGTAGTCGTATAAACAGCTTTAGCTGCAAAGGTAGACAAGAAACTTGCTAAAAGGTTTGTTAACCCGTGTTTCCAACGAACGTTGGTAGAAATCTACTCCATGGGAACCTGACTCTCGGATATGCGATAAAGCCGACCCAAGTTAAAAGAAAGTGTTGCCGTTTGATAAGCTTTGGCTTTTTTTTATTTGATAAAGGTTATATTTATGGTAACTCTTTTGGGCAAAGCAACTTGGTTTAAAAGCCGTAGGTTGACTTAAACAATATATACCTTTTAGAGCTTTCTTTAGATAAATGTGCCACTGATAAGCTGGAGTGTGTTTCTGAATGAGTGATTTGATTTCTATTTGTGGGAAAATGAGAGGTAACTGAAAAATGTACTTGACTCTTGGTTATACCAATTAGTTTGCCATATTTGCGACAGCTTTCTAGATTAGATTATTGGATTATAGCTGTATTAATAGATTAATAATGCCTGAAACGACCTTGTTGGGATTGGTCAAGTTCTAAAAAAAACTTTTATATATGAAATAAAATAACTGTGTCAACGCAATAAATTTATTTGTAATTTGTTTGCTCTTTAATTTTTACCAATGCAAATACACCGCCAAGGTTAATAGTTTAAGCATTAAAATCTCAATCAGTGGAACCTCTTGCAAAAGATTTAATTCAAAGCAAATCCAATTCAGTTTTTAGAAACCCACATACGTCTAATTTTTGCACCTTTCTGCGGCGATCGCTTAACCGTTTAATTTATGTCTTTGCGAGATACATTCATCTTCGGCCGCCGATCCAATTTCGCTTGACACATTTGCCAAGGGGGCGTGGGTGTCTCCGTTTCAGGCTGGGGTAATTCACCTTGGTGGCGATTTTCCACGGGGCCGCGATGACTGCGCAGGCGCAACTAAACTGTAATCGAGACTCTCGCTTTCTACGCGGCTTGATACCGCGCCTTGATGACTGTGAAATTAGACGGCAAACTGCAGATTGGGCCTGTAGACTGGCGATTGAAGACTGGAGATTGGAGATTGGAGATCGGGGATCGGAGACTGAAGACTGCAGAGCGGGTGCTGTCGTATATCGCTGTTATCATATCCGACCGACTAACCGACCGACTGATTGACTGACTCCGAAACGCGAAGCTCTTTCACTTTGCATATTGCCGGCGCTGAAATTACAATATAAATTTATATATACCCGTACGTATACAAGAAACAATCTTTAATCAGCATTTACGCTTTCATCTTTCACATTTCTCAAAAGAGTGAAAAACAACACGGCCATAAACAACAATTGTTGTTGGCAACACACACAGCAACCTGTTGACGAGTCGCTTGAGATACAGATACTCGGATAGCCGGCGATCTTCAGTGGGTTTTTTGGCCCGGCTTTGACTGCAAACTATTTTAATTTGGTGGCAAATTTGCATAGTTGGCATATCTTATGAATTTGTTCGTCTATTTGTCGTATTTAATTTGGAATCGGAGGCCATAAACATTTATAATTTTACTCTTTCTTTCTCGGTGGGACAAAAGATGAAAGCAAGAGTGACATTTAAAGCGGTTCAGGCCAAAGTTGGGAACCTTTTGTCTCCACCCTTTGTTCGGAATTATTTTTCAGGGCTTATGCAATATGGTAACACACGATAATTGAAGAATGGGGATCATGGATATTGTGGTTTTGGGCCTGATTTCGGAATGCCATTCACTTGATTGGAAATATCTTGGCAGGAATTGTTACTATACTGTGGTCACAATCGGATTTTGTTTGGTCTTTATTTTTGTGGGGAACATAGTCGTTTGTATTGTGGATTTTCTTATGATGTAAAATAGCCATCGTGAATGGACTCCCAAAAATGTAGCCTGGGAACTTGGAGGAATTATGGTTTTTGAGTTAATGATTTATGAAGTAATCTCTGAAATAACGTTATGGGAAGTACGGTTATAAAATCTTTAAAGCCTCCTTAGATTTCGGGTTTATTTTGTATAAAAAGTTAAAAGAGAGAAGGCATAAAAAGCTATACTTTACTTTTTATATAAATATAAATTGTGTTTGAAAATCAAGGTTATTACAGTTCGATTCTTGTTGTAAATCTGGTTCCGCTCTATTGTTAAGTAACCACTCCAAAACCAACGCCCGTTATTAAGTTAATTGCCATCTATCTATCATTTCCTGATCCATTATTCATCCGCGCTTATTAATTAATTAATAATTTGAATGTTAAGACGCGGCATGCACTTAAGTGTAGCCAAAACAAAACGGAAAATAAAACTGGAGGAAGGGGTGAAAACTCATCAACAGCTCATTGCCCGCATTGATTGATAAATATTTTCAAAAACCTACCTTAAATATGTTGTAAGCATTCAACGCCATGTGAAAAGCATGCCAAAAAAATTCCACAGCTGTAAATTATGGGTTAGAAACAAAGTTGAAAAGGCAAATTGAAAAAGTATGTTTGTGTTTAAAATGCCGACGATTTTTACATTTTAACGCCTCAGCGGATTTCGCTTCGTCTTATTTATTTTAGCAAAGAAATCTGCATAGATATCGCAGTTTTTGCCTAGATTATTTATCAATTTCTACAAAATATATGCAAACAAAAAGCAGGCGAGTCGGTGTGCGGTTGCCGTTGACTTGCACATGACTTTCCTGACATTAGAAAGTAAATTGCCATGAGGCCACTTGGTCAACCATCAGAGCCATGCACTCCACCATCGCCACAAAAACCCACAGCCTCAGCTTTAGCTTTAGCCTCAGTCGAAGCCGAAGCCAGCATTTATAAAACTTTATTATATAGTTTTCTATTGAACCTGATGAAATGCAAGTGGAGGAGGACTGGGATGATGAGATTGCCGAGGCTGTGGAAGGCAAACAATTGAAAGTCAGGCTAGCAAAGTGCTTTGGCTTTATTATTATTAATTGGATTCGACGGGTGGAAAGTCCATTGTCTGACCCTGAGACTCTGGCACTGGTTTCCCTGTACTTGGATTTATTTTCGCAATTTACCAATCGGAAATGCAATTTTCTCCATTGAAATTCGAATGTCCACGCTTTTGAGCGCTTCCACGCCAATCTAATCTTATCGAAGTGGGTTTGTTAATTTCGTTTCTTTTTCATTTTTGAGCGAGCAAAGTGCAAAACTTCATGTGTACAGGAAAGTAGAATCCCATTCTCATCGGGCCGAATGTCGGATCACCAATTACCCGACTCAAAATTGACGCATTGGCCGGTGATTCATTCTGAGATAAGAAAATGTGATTTTATTTATTGTTAACTTTGCGCAAGCCTGTGAGGCTCCGCCAAAATAAACGTATTTGAACTCTTATTAATCAGCATCTAGATGAGGAAGCACTTATTTTATTTATTTATAACAAAAGAAAGCAATAAGGTTAATGTATGGCCCATTTATAACTTCCTTTTGCTCAATGGTTTATGTTTGATACAAATAAATATTTTAAATCTTATACACCAAATAAATTTCATCAGCTATAAACCCTAATTATTCACATATGTTGCCTGATCTGCTGATCCTCACTGAACTTTCAAACTGTAACGCTCGCAAACTTATTCAATAACGCTCAATCAAATGCACATGTTCCCAGTGAAAAAAGCGTTACGCCTGTCATATAAATCAAGCATTAATAAAACCCAAATTTGCGCAAATTTCGACAACATTGAAAAGCAAATGGCAGAGGAATTCTTTTCATTTGAAATTCTTTGCTAAATGTCAATTAATTATTAACTGGAACCGCCTGCCTGCTTCGGAACATGAAATTTATTATTTAATTATAAAGTCGCGGCATGTCTTGTTTGCGTTGGTATTTTGGGTTGAATTTGCCTAAAACCCTGCTCCTTTCTGCCTTCCCCCGAAAAGTTGCCTGTGTCCGCCTGATTTCCTGCGAAAATGATGGACAACCCAGCCGGAGTTAAAAACACATCATAATGATATCATGCTGGGGGCATTCGAGCTCATCTCTTATTTTCGTGTGCAGCCTTTTTTATACTATTTTCCTTTTTTTCGCTTTGTTTCCGAAAAACTGTGTTCTGGTTGTACGACCGCTAACTCCACTAACTCCACTAACCTCTGGTTAGGTCAAGAGTTTAATGCGGAACCGACACAATGGAGGGCCAAAAGATTTAAGATCAAGTGTCCGTAATTCATGGCATGTATGAATCACTCTGGGATTGTATAACTTTTGTTTTTGCTTCTTTGCGGTAGAAAAAAGTCAGGTAGGGAGTTTTAATTATGAATGTAAAGAGCGGAAAAGGTGATTTTTTTTGAGGATAAAGCAAGAGCTTGATTCCCCATAAAAAATATTTTACATATCTAACAAGGTATATTAAATAAAAGTTCTCATTTTAGGCAAATTTTAATTGTTGTTAAACTGAAAGGATTTTTTTTAATTTTAATGATGTAACCCCTTTCCAAATTTGCAAAAATGGGTTTGCTTAAAAGTGACCAAATACACTACCATACATTTTCAAATTCTTTTCTAATTCAAATCAAGTTGATTGCAACTTGCCTCGCCGGCTGAAGTATTTATTGCGGGCATTTAAAGTTTGGGTGTACCAACCGGTTGGTCAGTCAGTCACGCTTAATAAACTGCAAAGTGGAATTGCTGGGCCATGATATGGGTGTACTGCTGGCACCCCCACCCCCTCCTCGCTTTAAACCCCCTTTTTGCCATGACTTTATTGTCACAGCTTGTAATCAAAAGCCGGCCGGTCAGCAAATCAAACCGAAAAGCGACTCGGGCACCTTGGACATCGGCTGGCGGCGCTGAGTCAACTATTTTTTACTCAGTTGAAAATTGCATTTAATTGTTTAACAAAATGCCGAGCGCGTTATGTGGCTTATAGAGATATGAGTTATAATACAATTGCTCGAGTTGTTGTCCATTGACAATTTTCCGGGCCCCTCCTAGTCCCCAGTCCCCAGTCGCTAGTCACAAGTCACCTGTCCCAGTCCCGCTCCCCTTTACCGCTCCCCCGATACTGCTCCCCCGTAAAGCTCCCCCGATACCTCCCCACCACCCCTTCTGATCCACGGAACTCCAATCTGTCTGTCTGCACAACAAGTTTATGATTGCTGAACCCGTTTGCAAGTTTTGTTATTTGTTATTTCTGTTACAATTTCTACTATTTTATTTTTTTCTGCTCTTTTTCCCCCATTTAGTTTTTTTTTTTATTTGCTTGGGTTTGGCCATCAAGTGCGGAAGTTGGCGAGCCAAGAAAATAGAGACTCGAAATGTTTGCATATTTTAAAATGCAATTGGAAAGGTGAACAGTTTCTGCTGTTGTTTGGCTTTCTGCTTAATTGCAATTGACTCGTTTATGATTTTCCGCTAACTGTAACCGAATTTATTGATTGCACTTACGAACGTTTATTAATTTACAATGTTTAATCTTCGTTTTGTTTACCCAACAGCCTTCGACAACAACAACCATCATCATCATCACCATCACACGCCGCTCGTTGTTTCGCATAGAAAGGTGAGTTTACCACGGATTGCTTTTGACTACATGAGATCCCCTGTTTTTGGATTTTAATGGGCCGTAAAGCCTTTAAATATCTTTCACGTGTCCGCCTGTTGGTGACTATTAAGTGCCCTCAGATTACAGACTTCAGATTAGAATTATGGCCCGTAAAGTTCACTCAAATGAGTTCATTTCGTGGCCATGTTGCTGTCTTGTTACGGTTCCGGTTCGGTCTTGAATTAAGCTCTAATGATTAACGATAAAAGAAATGGGTTCTCAACGGGCAGAAACGATTTCGAATCAGAAGAGCGGAAGACTTGAAACAAGAACGGATAATATCGAGTCGTTAAACGCGTTGAGTGTCGCTTAAATGCACTGCACTAATTAAGGCTTAGCTTTTTATTAACAGGTTATAATTCAGGTTTGATAGTATTCTTACAAAAAGGTTTGCAAAGAAAGCAAAGGAAATTTTAATTGGAATAGAAAGGATAAATCAATAAATAAACATAACAAATAATGAGGGTAATAAAAACTTCAGGTTATGACTCCAAAGGAAATCGTGATCTGAAAAAGATTTATAGTTTTTTTTTATATATAGAACAATCGGATATTCTTATGAGTTCTTAGTTGAGCGTTTCTCTGCCCTGCAAACTCCAATGCTCCTCTTTTCAATCAGCGCCAAAGAAATCCCCCACATGAACACCTATCTGGAGAGGCCCGGAGCTGACATCAAATTGAACAGGCCATAAAACAAAATGAGCTACAACAAGTAAGACAAGCTGCCTAGCATAATGTGTGAAAGTGTTGGCGGCCCAACAGCAACATCAACGGATTTTATGGCAATTTTAGCAGATGTTCAACACAGCCGCACATGCGAAAGTGTTTTCCTCAAAAAAAAAAAAAAGCAGCCCATGAAGAATGCACTTTAAGGTTTCAGTTCCCATAGGCCAGCAAAGCCAGCGGAAAAAAACCGAACCGAACTCAGCCGAAAAAGTTACAGAAAACCTAAAACGAGGCAAAGCAGCAGAGGAAATGCGCAGGCGCATCGGCGCACAGAATTCACATGATGATGATGATCGTTGGCAACCCTGGTCGGGGGCAGGCTTGAATCGCCGGCGTGGTAATTAAAACCGCCAGCAAGCAAACGCTGCAACAAGAGGGCCAACTGCATTTGGGCCCCAAGAAGATCGTAACATGGAAGCGCCAAGTTTCTCCACGCCTGGAAATTTTTAATGTATCTTTTAGTTCAGCTCGCTGTTGTTATTTTCCCCCTCATGCCACATCTACGAGTAGATGCCGTTTTCAATTAAGTGTTGTGCTGCCTCTTCGTAATGGGTGTGTGTGAGAAATATGCATGTTTCACCGCTCAATGGAGGTCGCTCCTTAGATACTCGGCCATATTCATTCTACTACGAGCACAAGGCAATTCCATTGTCTCCGGGGTTCATGAGAAATTTCCGAATGCATTCTGGGGTTACCTTAAAATTCTTATAATTTACGATCGTAAAAGACCTCATTTAAGTCGGATAGCACACATTCCTCCATAAATATGAATGTACTGCATGGGAAAAGTCATCGGTTGGAATTCTACTTACCTCAAACTCATTCCAAGAGAAATGAATCACAAGCGATTACAACTAAAAATTGCACTCGATGGGGAAGTATTTAGCAAGAGTCGCCAAAACGCAATAGATATACTATGGTAAATATTTACCAATTAACCCAGCCACCCAGCCACATTGTGGGTCCCCCAAATTGCGATCCACTAAATCAAGAGGCACGTCAGCGGCCCAAAACGAACTGAAATTGGACATTATTATACAACAATTGCAAAAATTACCCGAGGGTTGGATTGTCGCTGGTAAGGTCAGTCCTCCCCCTCAAAATGGAAAATGGGCGTTAAAAGTGCGACTGCAGTGCGCAAAAATGTATACATTTGTTTGTTTTTAAAGGCCCCCCGACAACAATTGAAATTGAGTGGAAAGACAAAAAAAAACAATTGCCGGGAGACCAAAGACTTGAGAGTTAAGAGTGACAGCGCGTGCAGTGACATTTTCCGTTCGCAATTGCACTTTAAGCAAGTTTGACCTTTGTTTCTGAGACTGAGAGCCGCGACTTGGGCCCCCAGAGTAATTCCCATAGCTGTTGCCATCGTAAAATGGCCAAGTTGGGGTTTATGTTATGCAATCGCCAAAAGGACAGACCAGCGATGCGGAACCTATAAGCGGCTATCAAATGACAAAACAGACATCATCATTGCATATTATGCAAAGTACAAAAATTGATGATCACATATTCGCCTGCGCGCGAAAGATAGAAAAGAGATATGTTTATGGCAACAAATTGCAGTTGGCAGTTGGAAGTTGGCGGTTGGCAGTTGGCAGCAGGCAGCCCCACTAACCGCAGAAGACTTCATCGCTTTTCCGGGCTCGTGATCTGCAACTAACCGCCTGACTAGTTGGCTTAACTCACTAACTGACTGAATGAATGACTAACTGACTGAATGACTAGCTAACTGACTAACTGACTGAATGACATGCCGTCTGCCTTTCGGGGATGCGGACTAGGAAGTCGGTGGCGAATTTCTGCGGTTCGATCAGCCCACTAAGGTCGCCTAGAAATCCGTAATCCATATCCCAGATAGTAGTGAGTCAACCTATGATGCGCTTCGCCACACTCCACTGAGTGCGGAGGAAAACCGAGAGGGAAGTAACAAACTAAAGACTAAAGACTCTAAAGGTTTCAATAAGGGCTTGGCCAGCTAAATTGTTGCGCCTGCATTGCCATAAATAGCGTTTCGTAGAGTTTGACGGCAACCCAAAAATTTACATTGCACAGGGGGCATTTTTGTAATTGGTTTATGGGTTTCCGATACTTTTTGGGTGCGCCAACTACCCGAGGGAATCGTAGTCGGAATCGAAGTCGGAATCGGTGGCTTTGACGGCTTTTGAGTCCGGCAAATAGGATTACTGCTCTTGACAGGCGGGCTTTAATACTTTTTTGGCTCTCTAATTTCCTTTAATTGGGTTATAGGGGCGAATTGCCAAATGAAAATGGGGAAGGGCACAATTAAGCTGGAGTGGAAGAGGTAATGATGCCGGAAGACCATTTCCGATCAAGGTTAAATCACATAACTCCTTTTGGGAAATAAAATAAGTGATAGTTTGGAACATATATAATTTACCTTAACCTTGGTTTCACATTCTTACAATGTTACATTTATTAATTAATGGCCTTAAATACGCATTCTATATGTATTTTTGTTTTTCCCACAAAAGCTTTGTCTTTACGTGATACAATTAAAAGTAGTTCTACTCAAACTACAACGCAAACTAATTACTTATAGCACCCAAGGCTGTTATCTGGCTACTAATTAAACATCCCATTATTTAATTCCCTTTAATTGCACAAGGTTGTGTAATATTTATAATATGCAGCTTAAAACCTTAGATTTTCATCTCCGAATCTCTGCTAACCTCCATAATTTATCCCGACGTCTTAAGTCTAAATTCATTACACCGAACAAACAATTATTTCGTTATGAAACCGCTTTTTGGTTGTCAGGGCTAAAAGTCTCGTGCAAAGAGTTTTCATATCTCCAAAAAAGATAACTACACGATGGGCAGAAGCCGTGGCCTAAATTTATGTAGATATCGGGTGACACATCGCAGACCAGAGTAATGTAATTTGTAGCAGACTTTAAATTAATTATCAATTTGCCGGAAAATGAGCCAACATATGGCCATCGATGGGGTACATTTTTCACCAGTGAAGTCAGTCGATGAGCAATTACCAATGCAAACTGCAGAGTTTGTGAGTACTTCGCCCAAATATTAACTCCCAATCTTTACAGTAAATATTTTGCATTAAATAAGGCTCTCAAGTTCCCTTCCTTTTCGACTTAAACTCAGTTTTTATCGCTGGAAGAAAAAAACCGAAAAAAAACGAAATAAGTCATCGCTTTTTCAGAGCGTGAACAGCTGGCCTACCTGTTCCATTTAACTGGCCCGCCCGTACTTTTATGGGTTCAGTTCGTCCCGGTGTTTTCGTACCTTATGCTCCAGTAGCAACAACAGGAGCAGCAACATCACAGCAGCAACACCAGTAACAGCAACACCAACACCAACAGCAATAGCAACAGCAACAAGCAACAGTTGTTGCCACTTCCACTTGCAACTTTGGTTGCTGCTGCTGCCGTTGGCTAGCTCCAAAAACAATGAGTCGCCTCTGGATGGCGACTTGGTTGAGTGCCTCGCCGTTTGTTTTATGCTTCGTCTGGTTCTCTGGTTTTGGCTCTGGTTCTCTGACTCCGACTAAAACCACGACTCTGGATCCGACTCGCAGCTATAGCTACGCATTTATAATAGGCCAAACATGCCACAGTGGGACTAGATTAATTAAAAAACCAGTATAAAATTATTTTAAATGTACGATTATTGTTTTTTTACTTTCCTCTGCATTTAATCAACATATTTAAATTTTCATATATTTTAAATTTTCATCCTGAATCTGTCACTTTGTCCCACTGTGCCACTCGATGCCTTTTGGCTGCTCGCCTTGGTGACGGCGCAAACGCACCGCTCCATGGCCCATTGTTCTAGGGAATCAATCAATGGATGGCAGCACAGCACCAGAACTGCCAAGAGGATGGGTACCTGGCTACATGGGGATTCGATGGGGTTGGGAATGGGGATGGGGATGATGACCATGTTGATGACGATGACAACGCGCGCACGACGTCAACATAAAAGTGTCGATCAACTAAACGTTCTCGGGCCTGCGGATGAAGATGATGGCTGTAGAGGGAGTGGACTTGGGGATCGGGAATGGGGAATGGGATATGGGGGAAAAGTCTGAGAGGCAGCCAAGAGGCAAACTTCATGGCTCGGCGGAGCTGAAGCTACGGGATTGTCTTTGGCGCTGGGGTTCTCTGGAGCAATTGTATTCACGAGCGTCTGTAATTGCATGCACCGCCGTGCTTTTACCCATAAATCTAGTCACACTGGGAAAATAAT